CGAACTCCTGCCGGCTGCACCTGGGAGCTTCCCAGGTGCAGACTTCCCACTCTCAGTCAGGATTTCCACCGACTGAAGTATTTCTTCGCCTTCCTCTTTGTGAGGTCCAACTTCGGCTTTTCTCTGTTCTTCTTCATCTTGTGCTCCTTGATCTCGTTGAAGAGCTTCTCACTGCGTCGCAGTAGGTCGTCCATGACATGCCACTTCAACTCTTTCTCTATCACCGCCTTCCTTCTTTGGGGATCAAATGAGCTGAAATCCTCATTCGTCAAGGCGTCTGCCAAAGTGTTGCCATCCCTTCTCACCCATGTGAGTGTAGCAAAGGCATCGCACCTCCGTAGTGTCTCTGCCACCTCAATCACCAAAATGGTGATTGGGTATTTTGTTGAAAGCCCTTTCTGGAGTATAAACGAATTGCCCTTGTTGTCGGTGAACGCCTCAGCTCTGACTTCAGCCGTGTCACCTGCCTTCTTCAGCCACAACTTCAGAGCGATGAGGGTTGCCAAGAGCTCCAATGCTGCGATCACTCTCTTGGGGTTCTTGCCCCTGTAAAATAACCAGGGGGCGCTTGCTTCTGTCACCTGTAGGGAAAACCAGCGACACTTCATGCTGTCCTCACACTCCTCAAGCCAGCCCCCAACCCATGCCGGGTGCTCCGTTGCCTTAGCGTCCGTCCAGATCCTGACTGTATTGGCACTTGATGATGGAGGCCTCTTGACTATCTCCATGTGACCCCCTGTTTTGAGCCTCTGTGCCACCCAGTCCAGGATGAACTGCACCGCCCAAGGGATGGTCATTGCACCCTTGTTTGCTTGGATAGCTGAGGCCCAGGTGTACAAGGGTCCAAGTAGGGGCTTTTCCCAAGGGAGGGCCAATGCCGAGAAGCCCAACCTCCCGAGTCCAGCCGAGAACTCACGGAAAGTGACCTCCTTTCTCTCCCTCAAGGAGCCAATCCAGTCAACAAGCCAGCTCGCTCTCCTCAAGGAAAGGCCCATGGAGAAAGCACTGTAATCCGTGGTGAGGCCAATCCATTCTGTAACAACGCCGCCCCTCTGCTTTGCCCACTTGAAAGGTGCTCCAAGGGAAGCCATCACAGAATAGGCCAGCACACCACCAATGCGTCCCCAACGACCTATTGTCAATACCTCAAGGTCGTCCGCGTACAGCAGCGTGTCGTTCGGGAAGAAGTCACCTAACACCCAATAGACAAGCCTCATCAATGCTGCGCTCAACCTTGCCCACCAGTATGGTGTTGATGCCACTCCGAAAGTGCCCACTTTGTTCACATAAACTGTATTTGAACTGGTGGAAGCCTTACAAGCCAGGAAACCCTGCTCCTCCGCACAATACTTGAACCTCCGATGAGCCTTTGCGAAGTCACCCACCAGAGAAAGGCCTGGGCCCCGGCATTCGGACCTGGTCTTTGCACTTGATCCGATGGTTCACCATGACACCGTGCGTGCCATCGTGAATCACTCTCTTCTTCCCGGTCAACTCGTCCTCCACCAGGACCGCTAGGGCAGCCACTGCCCTGTCCCTCCCGAAGGTCTCAATGAACTCCGCCTCATCCATCTTCATCATGAGTCCTTCACCACCTCCTGCTCCAGGTGTTCTGTCAGGTACCTCTCATGTTCAGCCGCCGAGGCATAGTTGTCCTTCTGCCATGCCGCATTGCCCCAGTCGTCTCCGTCGAGGCTCCACTTCACCTGCTCTTCGAAGATCTTTGGGGTCCGTGGAAGGTCGTTGATAACCCTTCAAGGGCAACCCGGTCTTTGCCTGCTCTAAAAACTCCCAATCCGGGTCCTCCGCCTTCTCAAGAATGCCTTTCATGAGGTCCAAGAAGAAGGGCTGTCCCAAACACTCGGCCAATATTTGCCTGATCTCCTCCAGAAAGCCCTCATCACGGACCAACTGAAATGCCTCTCCTCCTCTCGCCATTCGGAAAGCCTCCTTCTCAACATCCTCAACACTTCCCAAACGTCTGACTGCGGCCAACAGGATTCTGTGCCTCAACGTCCTCCATTCTCTGCCAGCCAACATCCTTCTCTCCCCCTGGGGCCACCTCATTGGGGAAGCCAAACCTCCTCCATCATGAAAAGGTGCCTCCAAGCCTTTCCACCGGCACGCCCTCGAAGGACCGTGCCCTCCTGGAACCAGTGGGTTCATCGGATCAACTGCACCTCTACCTCCGCCGTCCGGATCACTCCTTGGTCGCTTCACCGTAGATTGGTCCACCTGGTCAACCTCAAGCTTCCGCTTCTTCAATGCTGAAGTAGTTGTTGTCTCATCCCCCCCGTTCCACTCTTGCATGAAGGAGATGAGAATTGCTTCAGCTGTCCATTTGCAAAGTGCTGGAGGCCATGCTGCTGACTGTGCAGTACGAAAGACCCCCCCGGCTTTTCCGATCAGAGGGGCGCCCCCTGATTGCCTGGGAAGAGGTCCTTCGTACCAGCCCTGAGCATCAAACTGTTGAATACCTGAGTGCATTGCTGGATGAAGAGGTGCAAACATGCGCATCAAGAACCTGGTAGGTTTTGGAGACTCGGTACCAAAATCTGACTGAGCAAATACCACCGTCTGCACACCCGGGATCTCCAACAACTGTTGAAACTGCGCAAACTGCCACATGGGTGCAGGTAGCTGCCCCGGAATCCTTTCATAGTTGGTCCTCCCAAGGTCCTCCGGTTGCTCCATCAAGCCAACACGTTGCCTGCATGCAAACTGACGCTTCAATGCTTCATATGAAAGGTCAGCTAAAATTGTTCCAAATTCAGCTTTGTGAAATCGCTCTGCCCTATTCCATGGAAAACCCCTCGGGTATGTTGAGCTCCTCAATGGGAAAGGCCCCAAATCATTCGCCCACACTGCTCTCGAAAAGGTAGAACAGGGTGGTGTCACAATAACAGCGTAGTAGATGCCTTGAGCAATCAACTGTAGCCACTTCTTCTGTACAGAAGGGATTGTAAAATCTGATCGACGATCAGACTGGATGTCCAACTCAGTGATCTCCACCTGAACACCCTTTCGTTGCGCAAGCTTCCGAAGGAACCACGCCACTGAGTTTCTGCGCTTCTTCCCCGAAAACACGTAGAGGACTTTCAAAGGTCCTCACTTTGTCCCGTCTGTGTCGGGAGCTGCCGCCTCCTTCCTGTTCTTTGCATTGCACTCGTAGAGGGGGTGCTTCTCACTGAAACATATCCCGCACACATGGCGGTACTTGCACTTGGCCATCTTGCACCTCTCTCCCGGGGTGTTGTATCTGAAGCAGATCAAGTCCCCTTCAGGCGTGTGCGTCGCGCAATGCGGGCTCCCACCCTTGCCCTTGCCTTTCTTCGACTTGCCCTTCTCCTTGCCCTTGCCACCCTTCTCAACCGCTTGCCACTTGTGGGTTGGCTGCTCCCTCCATGGCGGCGTGGCGTGGGCCTCTTTGCATACAATGCCAAAGGTGTCGTGAAGTTCCTCTCCTTCACCGTGGCATCTTTCCATGCCGTTTTGAGTGCCACCGTCAAGGGCTTGCCTTCTGTGTTGGTGATCTTCACCGCCTGCTTTCGGATGGCCCGCTCATAGGCGATGATCAACTTCCAAGGTGGTGCTGCAAATGTCTGGCCTTCTGCGTCTTTTGCACTGAGCCCATACACATAGTCACCCAAGAGGTAATCCTTGTACTGCCCAATCGTCTCCTCCCAGGCTCCTTGAAGTTCATGTCTATTCGAGTGCTTCAGTGAGATCATGACCATCGCATTCTTCCAGATCGTCAAGCGGCGCCTGAGTTCTTCAGCGTTCGCTGGTTCGGGCACTTTTGTCGATGCCTTGCGCATGGCCAATCGGCCCTTGGAGTCCCAAATGGGCACGACTCCATCGGGCTCGATTTCTTCTTTCGACACAACTTCTGCCAGCTCTTCAGCCCGGTATTCGCCGCTTTCAACCTCCGCCAACTTCTTCTCGACGAATTCTTTCGAAGGATAAATCTTGTCCTCCAGGTGGCCATACTTCTTCTCCAATGCTGAGCGCGTCGCCGCCCATTCTCCTGCCACCACTGGCCTGGCCCACTGGGACGTGTCGTACTCTGCGTCGACTTCTGCAGCTCTCTGACTTCTTGTCTTTGCATTGCTGAAGGCACATGTGATTGCTGCCACTTGCAATCGCTCCTCCAATGACCTGTCCGAATCCAACTCCCAATGCTCCTTGAGAACTGTTGCCAAGTCATCTCTGTCTTTCGCAAAATTCGACAGCTTCTCTAAGGTTGTCACTCCATGATGAAAGAACAGCTTCTGATTGTCAACACTCACCTCATGTCTTGAGAAGAGGTACTTGATGTCAGTGCCTGCAAGTTCTAATGCCTTGTTACCCTCAGCCTCCGAGATGACCGCACGCGGCATGCCGAGCGCCCACCGATGAGCGCCCCCCGCCCCGCCTGTCTGAACCGAGCAGGTTTCCAAGCGTGCGATGCTCCCTATGGACACAGCGTTGTCCACCTTCGTGCATGCGATGCACAATTCCGTTCACATGCGATGTGATACACTCTATCGGTCTGTGGTGCGCCCAGCCTTCTCCTCCACTGGTATTGGCCTTGCGCCTGCTGCGCTCCGCCCCCAAGCCTGAGCGGCTCGCTCGGCTCAGGGTTGCCTTTACCCCCTACCAGCGTCTTGCGCTAGATGCGATCTAGCCCTCCCTCGTGCTGCAGCACGATCCCCTCCCTGGGTGCGACCCAGGTTGTCCTCACCATGCAGCTGCACCTCGATGCGGCTCAGACGACTCCTTTTCAATCGCTGAGACTCAGTTCGTCTCTCGAGTCACTTGTGGACTCACTTAGAGGCTCGCTGCCCCCGCTTGCATCGGAGGGTGTACTCTTCCGGCTCCGGAAGCTCCTTGTGGATCTCAGACCTGACAAAGAAACGCTTCTTGGCCATCCAGCAGCCCTTCACTCCAAGCCGGTGCAGAGTACCTCTACCAGCTCGTCTGTACACCACCACGTAGTTCCCCTCACGCTCTTCCTCCAAGGGGTCATTCATCTTCCTCCTCTTCGGGTCTTTCTGATGCAGAGCTGCCGCTTCCTCTTCACTTTGGGAACCATCATAGATCGTGGTGTCCTCATCCGACACATGCATTCCCTTCACTCCCAGCTTCCCCTTCCATGCCTCCACAACACTCTCCTCTGGGACTGTCCACTTGCCTCGCAGCCCCTCCAGAATGGAGCCCTCGTCCAGCTCTTCATAGGCGGCCTCCCCTCGCAACACTGCAACGATCTTCTTCTGCATCTTCCTGACTATCGTGTTGTATGTCCGGACGTAAACGTCCGAGCCTTCCGGACACCAACGACCCAGCAGGTCTGACTTCTCTACGCCCAGTGCGGCCAGACCGCTGGGCATTGTTGCGCGCTCACTGTGCTCTGACCAAAACCCCTCCCATCCGGATGGGATCAACCCACCATCATAGCCCTCCAGCAGCGCGAACGTCCTTGAGCTCCCAGCCACTGCCTCAGCATACGAGACAGGCGCTGTCCCATATGCCGTGCCATAAAAGCACCCTTCAGGAAACACGAACACCCGCTCCCTTGGCATCTTCAGCTTCACCAGGTCATAGCCCACTGCCAGCCAATCATCATGCAACACATAGGCGTCCTTCGCAATGAAAATCGGCAGCTCTCGGACCCGCTTGCCGGCACCAGTTGTCTTGGTTTGATGCATCATCCCAACCAACTGTCCATCATAAAAGCGGAGTTCCGTAGTCTTCAGATGCGCTGCATCGTCGAACCTCAAGGAACCCCACAGCTTGATGAGCTTAAACCATGCACACACCCTCACCTCAAGAGGCGTTGCCGCATCGATCACCAGCGTCTCCATTGGAGCCACGAAGCACCCCAGCCATCGGGGCGCCCTCCGGACAGGCGGTGCACTCTGCTCCAATTTCCTTGTCAGCTCCTTCATGACCATCTGCGGAAAGGCCTGGTTCATCAGCCGCTCTTCTTCCGGCGTCCCGGCAGTCCGCTCAAACCATGCCACTGCCGTACTGGTCAATGAGGGTCACCGTGTTCGGTCGCTGGCCTGGCTTCCCCATAGAATCCGCCCAGACTCTGCCAGGACGCCAGATACCTCCTGATTGTTGAAATTCGGTACTTCCCCAGCAGGGCCTCTTTGGCTCGATCTGGGTTCATTGACTTCTTCACCTCCTCGAGGACCGTCGCCCTATAGATCACCAGTTCACTCACCAGTTTATCAAGGACCTTGTCGTTCACCTCGTCTTCAGCCGCAATTCGCCCGCTCTTCAAACGAACCGTCCTCCCCAGGGTGCCACGCTTTGGCTTCACGGGGACGACCACCACAGGCTCCACAGGTTCGAGGGCCTTCGTCTTCTCCTTGTCCATCACCGCCTTGGCATCTATGATATTCTGTATCGACCTTGTTGATGAAGTTCAACCCAGCCTATCGTCCAGATCCGCCATCTGAACGGCCTCTCGCACTTGGCCTGTGATGAGCTCCGTATGCCAGGGTCTATGCTCGATACCAAGGCGCTCTGCCAACTGCCTTGCCAGAACCATCTCGCTTCCATGGCTCACCGCAAGGCGTGCACCCACGAGGCTCAGCTCCGTGAGAAGATTTTGGAGCTTCGCTGCCTCTTCGGGATCGGGGGGACAAGCCCTCACACTAAAGGGAAATCTCACCTACCCTCGAACCTGACAAGCGGGACAGCAAAACACGGTCATGACAAGTCATGAATGTTTTTGGGGATTGCTGCAAGTATGTACGGCTTACCACACTGAATCTTCATCACTCCACGGAAAGTGCAGTCCTGGACTACGCTCAAAGGAAGAAGACCCTCTTCAAATCTCTTGAAGAGGGTCTTCGGCATCCACCGTCACATGGTCTTGCATGGTGTAGTCATTCTTGGTGTAGGGCTTTTGAGAGTTGGTGGGACCAAATCCCAAGTTCGGCCTTTTCGGGCCCTCCTTGCCCCCCCCCCC